GCCGCGTGCAGGCGGTGAGGGTAGGCAACTACATATCCGCCACGCTGACCCTCAACACGGGGGTTCCCTCGGGTGCGTGCTTAGTCTCCTATACTCCCTGTTTTTTTAGTCATTTTAGCAGACGCTCTTATCCAGAGCGACTTACAGTTAGTGAGTGCATACATTTGTTTTCATACTGGTCCCCCGTGGGAATCGAACCCACAACCCTGGCGTTGCAAGCACCATGCTCTACCAACTGAGCTACACGACTGTGTGGCCGCGTACGACTCCAACACCATCATTAAGTTTGCTGACAACACGACGATGGTAGGCCATATCACTGACAACGATGAGATAGCCTATAGGGTGGAGGTCAGTGAAATTGTGAAAATTATGATAATGCCCTTTTAGTGTAAGAGCTGTTTGAAAAGACCGCCTGAAATTTCAGCCTGTTTTGGTATGATGGAGTTTTGGCCTGCCTGGTGACATCACCAGGTGGTAAATTAATTAATTAATAGACCAATAACAGCTAGTTTTCCAAACCTCTCTGCCAATAACAGCTAGTTTTCAGTTCCCCCCCCCCCCCCCCCCCCACTCCGACCACTCCCAGACTGGCCTAGGAAAATTCTTGCTTGAGAAATGTATCTTTGCTAAGAAGCTGTTTTTGTTTCTTTTTGACCATTTTAATTGAAAATAATCACAGTAAGATAAAAATAGCTGTATTGGACCTTTTAATGTTACTTTTGAATCACAATGATAAATATTATAGTTTTTCTTGAGTGTATTCTGTAACAAAACTGAGATTTACTTTGAAGTCCAAAGTGTAGGAATACAGGTGAAATCAGTCATTGACACGCATGGTGGCGTAGCAGGAAGAATGCTGGAATTCCGTGAACCAAGAGGTTGTGAGTTCAAATCCCAGGTTGAATAATAATTACTGTATAAATGAACATCTTGATATTGTACACATGAGGCTACAAAGCCATTACATCAGCACCCCTGAAAGTTAACATATAAGCACCTGAATAAGTCTTACATAGGGAGTGGATGTGTAAGGTAATATTCTCTTTTAAGGTCAGTTTGAATTGTTTTTCCTCATGGGAAACTGGATTGATAAAGACCAAACAAAACCCCTTTTCTGAATGCTTGTCCTCCATGGAGGTTTCATTCCTTTATATCATCCAGCCCAATTCCCAGCATGCACAGCCATTGTGACTCTTTCAACTGGATCTCTCCATTGACTGGCTCATTGTCCAGCCAGGCTTTTGTGTGGCGCTATCACTGGAGTGCAATCTTTCACCTGAACACTATAGGAACATCGCAGTGATATGGTCGGGTATAGCATCTGAGGCAACCACGTCTGAAAGGAATAAAGCAATGGCAGAGACATCTAGAACAACAGGAGTAGCAAATAAAATAGTCAGTTAGTAAACCTTGAATAGATATATTCAACATTACCTTTTGATTTGTGTAATGAAGAGGGGGTATTTTAAAATATAACAATATGTGGGCAGTTAAGATCGATATTGCTTTCAATATTTCTCTCCTTTGACAGATAACCACTAATGAGGAAAGTCTTGATAAGAGTAGCAACATATGGATGTGGTGAGCCTTGGCCTCCTTTGATTGCATGACCTCTTGACCCTGTGTTGGAGAGCGTGGTGGCCACATTGTCTGGGTGTCTGTCAGGCCCTGGTTATAGGGCGTTATTGACTCAGGATTTATAAATATTGAATGAAAACATTAAGAGCATGGTGGAGGGCGGCCAGGCCATTAGAGTTCTCCAATAAAGAGGCTCTCACCATGATTGAGTGTTGTGGCTATGGGCTGGTTTTTGGTACAGAGAGAGCCTGGTTTGATTTCCAAGCAGTAGTACATTCCTGCCTGGCATTACTGGGCATGCTCAAAATGCTTGCCTACTATGTTTGTTATCCTACTATTAAATTAAATCATTGTCCATTGATAGACATAGATCAGGGAGGGACAACTAGCGGCCCGCAGCCCCCCTTTTCTAGGCCAGTCGGGGTCTCAACTTACTGTTGAGAGTTAGAATGATAGAAAAAACAAGGTGCAATTTCGACCCACGAGCCACTATGATGAGTTCAGTTTTTTTGTGGCCCCCACCCCCGTTAAAGTTGCCCATCCCAGACATACTGTAGATAAACAATGTATAACACTTAATTTATGCTAAGACTAGAAATGATTACAAGTGTTTACATGGAGTAGATGGATTCAGTTTTTCCTTTAACTAGTTTTTGCATTTTTTAAGAAAAAAAAGAGACTGGGCAAGAAACAGATAAGGAAGCAGGTATGTGACTATTGTTATTAGACACGTCAGATTATCGAGGGAATGCTTTGACGCACACAGCGATCGCAGTTGAAAATTGAATCATTCTCTGGTGTATCTGACATCACACTATCAGCATCACCTGCATTATCTTATATGCCATGAGATCTATGCACACCGCTGGCATAATAAGCTGTGATTCGCTGATTCCTGCTCAACTTGCATTCACTTAAACATGATTATAGGGTGAGATGGTCATGGACACTGTTGCCTTGATGAGAAATTGACATTTTGTGACCTGGTCTCCAGGACCACTCAGAAAGCCAGATAAGATGTTTAGTTGTTTTACAGGAGAGGCGCTATTCTTCCCCGTTGCTTCTCTATCTCTGTTTGACCCACTTGATGAGTATAGATTTCACAGGGCCCCCTTTCAGCGTTCAAACTATGAGTTTCAAAACAATACCAACCCCTTATAGACAAAAGATAACCTTGCTCTTTCAATGTATTGATTCTTTATTAACTAGGCAGCCTAATGCAATGAAATGAGGGATTTTAATGGGGCCTCTTTAGGGTGCTTTGAATAAAAAAGCTCACGCCATTTATGAAAGGCTACAATGCATTTAACAGGCTATTTAAAGCATGGTTGTAGAGAAAGATTCAGATATAAAGATCAATATGAATGTGCCTCAAAGTCAAATTGCTGGGTCAATAGAACAACAGAACTGCACCGAGATTTGTTTTGACTATTTAGGGAAGATTAGAAATACGTTTAAAGTTTATTTTAAAACATATTTCTAATCTCCCCGAAATTGTCAAAACAAAGCTCTGTGCAGTTCTGTTCTATTGGCCCAGCTGTCTGTTGCAACCTGTTTCTGAATCTAAAAGGCTAGAAACCACCATGGAGAGAGTGGATATCCCTGGCTCTTACAGGTGTAATCCAAGGTTTCATGTACAAAAGTGTTCTGTGTATTTAATCAATGTATTTTGCTGTCGTATTTCAGGTAAAGATAACAACTGAAGAAATCCACAGGCATTAGCAAGTATTGTTTTTTTTTACTGAAAATTTTAATAAAACATCACTTATTCATTTCTGTTTCCATTCCAAATTTTGACATTTTGAATTTTTGTTCCCTGTAAACACATTTAAGCTATGTGGCAGAGTCATAAGTGGTGAGTAAAAGTGACTTGTATACATTCTACAAAACAGAAAGAAAATACTACCACAAATGGAGTCCCTTCCTCCAAGGTTGTCCCTCATGCACATCGTTTCTATTGTATCTTAACAACTATCATATGGGTCACAAACAATTTATTTGACAATACAACCAACAAAGTTCTCCAAAAATGGTATGTATAGATAATTTAAAATCAATATAAAAATAAACAATGAAGTTTGACTTCCCTTTAAAAAAAATGGACAGAGAGTCTTGACAGAGTAACAAAACTTTGAAGATACATGTGAAATATATGGACATTACATTTGATCAAATACAAAAAAAACATGAAGGCAACAGTTCTTGGCTGAAATTCTCTGTGCTGCATCACTATTAAGGGCATGACAATTAATACATACATAATGAAAAGCAATATACAAAATATCAGAGATAAATACAATATTTATAGTTGATATGTTACAAAATCTCCCTCAAGTGAGCGCAAGTGTGTATTGGAACGGAAATATGACAATGAACTACTTTCCATTTTAGATGGAGTTTAATTTTGCTTTAAATGTTGTTGATCTAAAATAAAGACAGATGCCTAAATATTTAGCACAATTTTGGCAATATCACAATAGTCTACAAGTTTATAACCACATATAAAACACATAAGGGGATTTGGAGATAGAAGGAAGAGGATGGCCCTCTTCAACAAGAAACAGACTTCACAGTAGCCTAGGAATGCATTAATATACAGTGCTAGCAAAAAAGTTTAAAGAAACGTGGCAAAACACACTTGCTTAAAAGGAAGCTCTAGCCAGGCGTTCTACATACGCCAGTGTACTTGTTGAATCCAAGATCATTTTCACTTCGAAGATGAAATTCTAGCTACAATAAATTACTAATTTAATTTAAGATGTATGAATGAAACATGACACAATCTTACCCACCCACCCAGCCCCACCCATTTACTTGCATTTCCTGTATTTTATGATTGATTTCTACATTATATATCTCATATATTTTCCAGTTGAAAATCTTAAACCTTCTTGGCCCCACTGTATTTTATCACACATAAAAATACAAAAAAGTCACATTATAAAGACACACAATTGTGAATCTATTGAAAGAGAGTTAAAACAAAAAAACATTTTCTGAGGCAAACAAGTTCATAGGTAAATGTACATCAGTGTTTACATTAAAACCAAATGATGAGTCCACAGAGTTCCTTCCAGGATATGGTTCACTGGACAAAGCCAAAGTTCAACCCGATAGGTATGCAAAATAAACACTCCATCATCTTTTGTCTTCTTCGAGGTTGATCAAATGGAAATAAAATGAGCAAAAAAGCTAAAATTGTTGAGTTCCTAATGAAATGCTTTGTCCAAATGTCCAAATCTTAACTCTTGAAATAGTCTTTTAAAAGAAAATCATGTTTTTATCTTCATTAAAAACAGAATAAACTGTTGACTATATCCTCAATATTTTAGATTACGCCAGTGTCTTTGTTGTGTGATAAAGGGGTGTCCTGTATCGTGGTGAGAAGATTGGTGCTTGAGACGATGAAAGTGCATTTACATTGGAGGTACAACCAGACCGGACATAGCTGGAAAAGACAGAGAGAGAGAAATTGCATTTAGCACATTCATCCTTTCCAATGTATTAAATTGGATAAGCAAAACATTTAGCTATTTACATCAAGGAACTTTAAAACAAATGTTAAGTTATGATGTTGTAAGTGAGACTGTGTGTATGTGTGCATGTGCGCCTGTGTGATGCGTGAGTGTGTATGTATGTGTGGTGTGTCTGTGCATGTCTGAGTGCAAACCTCTAACACGATAGTTTTAAAAGCCTCCCTCTTGCTCTGACATTTCAGGCCCCACTAGGCCAGCGTGGCTCCGTGTGATATTCCTCCTGGTGTTGAGGTAATGGCAAACAGTGAACCAGACTCCAAGGAGAAACGGCCCTGCCGACCATGGAACAACAACACGGCCACTACCCACAATGCTGTGCTACAACCCCCACCTTTGTCACTTAAGGACTCAGCTGACTCCCCTCAGACTCAGCTGACTCCCCTCAGACTCAACTGACTCCCCTCAGACTCAGGTGACTCCCCTCAGACTCAGGTGACTCCCCTCAGACTCAGCTGACTCCCCTCAGACTCAGGTGACTCCCCTCAGACTCACCTGACTCCCCTCAGACTCAGGTGACTCCCCTCAGACTCAGGTGACTCCCCTCAGACTCAGCTGACTCCCCTCAGACTCAGGTGACTCCCCTCAGACTCAGGTGACTCCCCTCAGACTCAGGTGACTCCCCTCAGACTCAGCTGACTCCCCTCAGACTCACCTGACTCCCCTCAGACTCAGCTGACTCCCCTCAGACTCACCTGACTCCCCTCAGACTCAGCGGACTCCCCTCAGACTCCATACTGAGGATGGAGCCACTGCATTACACTCCTATTTCCACAGTCACTACACTACTCCTATTTCAAAATCATTATCCACAAGCTTCGACAGAGATCAAAGGTAGTTTCCATTCTTTTACCCAGACCATCTGCTAGGATATCATTAGAAACTTTAGCTTTTACAGAGAGTTGATATACTCAGTATTTCACACATTCTGAACAATTAGGTGGCTAGTAAAATGCCAGGATGAAAAGTCATAGTGTCATGGTTGGAATGCTTTTAAGTTTGCCAGCACAGATGATGGCAAGGCATTGCTCATTAATTTCTGCACAACATGTATTAATAAGTATGATCGTGTAGCAAGATGAACTTTAATTTCCCACTTCATTAAGCTCAATGTTATTAATCTTGGGGCGCACGCTACGGCTAAGCTTGTTTTCAAAGCAATCATGTTGGTCATGACAGACACACAAAACCTAATAAACATAATTACTAAAACAATTCTGGGAAGGTGTTGCCCTTAGACCTTGGAATATATCATTTGCTATACTGGATGGGTTGTGTGTGTGGTGTGTTTGCATGTCTGCTTATGTGCGTGTGTTTGCTTGTGTGAGTGTGTGTGTGTACGTGTGTGTGTATGTGTGTGTGTACGTGTGTGCACTCATGCTTGCTTGTGTATTTGAATGTAAACTCAAAAGGTGTAAATAATGAATTGCAGCCTGTTAAAATGCATATTTGTAATGATTAGTCCCTCACCAAACCGGACAGAGGCATGAGCCGCGGTATCTGCCCAGTAGTCCGAAGGGAAGGGATGAGGGGGTGAGGGGGGCTCACCTTGCAGTCCGTTGCCATTTGCGTTGGTGCAGGAAGGGGGTGGGGAGGCCTGGGGTCGGACCACAGGGGCGAAGGCGCTCTTTTGTTTAACTGCAGACAAGATATTGGGGGTGGGGGGGGGGGGGGGGGGTGGGGGGGGTAAGAACATGCTATCGGACTAAACTGGGCTGTATTTAGTGAGGTGAAACATTCAGAACATTGCCTATAGAAATGTAAAGAATAGAGTCTAACATGATTCAGATTCTCTACCTGACAGACGAGTATAACTGCCCTACACAATACTTTTCTATCTGAACATTGTGTAACTTTGCTCCCTCCTGAACAGGTCTGAGATGGCAGCTCTACTCACTTCCATATGGAGAGTTGGCAGAGGATCCGTTGAGGAACCCAGGGGAGCTGGAAACTCCCAGGTTGGACATGCCAGAGTTCCCGTAGCCATTCATACTGTTACTGACAGTGTTGTAGCTGGACTGCTGTGGGGTGCTGCTGGTGATGTACCCTCGTGGAGACACACTGCTGGTGTTCCGGCTGTAGCCTACCGAGGAGGAAGAAGAGGAGGATGGGGTGATTCGAGGTCTATAGGATTCATTCATTCTTTCATTCATGACTTACTTAGCTGACTGTGAGTAATTCTTGACCACTAAGCATAATTTCCACCTACCCTGGTCATTTCCCTGTGACTCGGACACGTTGACGGCTAGCTGGCTGCTGAAGGAGTTGACTCCCATCATGCCGTGGGAGGCTGTGTTGGCGAGGGAGGGGATCTGGTTGTGGTTACGGGGAACGCTGTACAGGGCCTCTGCTATGTCCGCTGCCCTCTTCAGAATGATCTCCTGTGAAACATGGAGGGAGAAGTTAAGAGTTATTGAGCTGCTCTCCCTCAGTCATCCATTATGGTAGCGAAAGACGTGTGTATGTCTGTCGGTCTGCATACCTGGTTATTGTGGGGCATCCCATACAATGCTTCAACAAGGTCAGCTGCTCTCTTCAGCAATACCTCCTGATGAAAAAAATTGGAAACACAGACATTATTATTATGTTCAATGATACTGTTCAACAAACACCATGACATGTAATGTAACAATAAGAGTCATTTATTTTACACATACAATAAGAGGTATTTGTTAGGTGGGTAAATAAAAGTGACCCTGTATTGAGAGGCACCAACACTGCATAAGGCCACCAACCCTTCCCAGAACCACTGGGAACAATGAATAATGTCCCATCTCTTAATTAAACCAGCGTAGGCCTTAAAAACAACACCTCACCCTCTAATTCTGGCCTCGCGTTTGCACAAGAGTTCAGCACTGGAGTCTCCTTTCTTCAGAACAATAAAGTGAATTAGCTTGGGTTAATCTAGTTCTCCCGTAATGACATTAAGACATTTTTCAATTAACCTCTTCGACTGGCTGTTGTAAAGGACTTCACAAATGACTTCCCATCCAGCGAGAGCTGGGTGCTTGTGCCTCGGGGACATGGATGCATGGAATGTAGTCTTATCCATGTCTGCATGCTTGTCCCTGCTTCACAATAAGGATTAGCAATGTTGCTTTGGCTCTTAACACTGAGAATGAGTTGGCCCTGGATCCTATTCCCTGCTCTACTTCAGAATAGAGCGTGTTAGTGTGCTTTTATCTGCTCTTTGAATTGAGCACTTAATGAAATCCTTCATGGAGCACGGCACTGCTTTGTTTAGTGTGATGCTCCAAGCAATATGTTAGGAAAACCATCTCCTCCATTTAAGAGCATTTATTCGCACAAAGAAATGCTTGAGCTATTGCTGTGGTGTTTTATTTGAACGCTTGTTTACTGTCACCTGCTGTATTGCAGCAGTATGTTGACTTTCCGTCAGAACCTCGGTTAAAAGCGATGCAAATCTGTCACTAGAAACATCTCAGATGGCGCTTGTTTTCTTCCCACATTGCGTGTTTTCCTTCGCGGGCCTCAGTAATTTGTGTGAAGTGTTCCATCACTTGGCAATAGCAATCTGGGATTAAGACGGCAGCTGCCGTAAATGAATGTAAACACAGCCATCGCGCCTTCAAACAGCGGCCTCCAAGACTTGGCCTGCGTTTCCAAGGCAGCGCGTATGGAGTGTGTATGGAGTGTGTATGCGCCTCCTTTCATCCCGAAGAGCCATATCTTCCTGAAGTCCTTGATTTATCAAGATAAAAACGTTGTAGAAGCTTCTAGCATGTGCCATGCTCTTATAGAAACATAGAGTTTAATCCACCAAGTTACCGGACGGGTGGCTCTCTTTAAAATGGGCATTTACCTCTGAAATTGGTGTGTATGCTCAACGTTGCATGCATCTAGTTTGCATACAAATAAAGAATTATGGTTGTCATGAGCCAGGTTCACTAAATGAGAGGACCAGCTGTCTTTATGTGTTCTCATCAGGCAGAACAGATTCCTCTCTTGCTCGATGAGTGAGACAAAGTGTTTTTTCTTTCCTTTTTCCTGCAGTTAATAATTACCAATAATCTATTCTATCATATTTGAAGATCTTCTACATGCCTCTCAATTTCAAACAACAATTAAAGCAATTAAGACTGTCACGTTCGCAAGCCATGTTTCATTCTCTGAAAACCTCCTCTCCATCCTTGTCCATATGGCACTTTGCAGCAGCAACATAAGGACAGCTTGGAAAAAAGAGAGAAAACGATATTACCTCTCATCCTTAATCTGTCGTTTACCGCGTGGCGTCTTAACTAACCAAGCTCACTCGTAGGGCTATGCTTAAGTGGTAGCCTAGTCATATCCCAGGATGATGGGAAGTGTGATACCCAATCAACCAAGGAGTTTGTTTTGTTTTCCGACGAGACACTTTCACGCGTATCGGCTCACACTGTGAATACGATTAGCACCGAATGGTGTTCTGAGGGCATTTCCATGTAAATCTGGATACTGCTTCAGCATAAAATGTAATTGGCTTTCTTGTCATGGAGACAGACATATCAGAACACCATGTTAAATTGAAAACAATTAAAGCCCATAGATGATCTCTTGTTTTGTGACAGAGGCATGACAGCTTTTCTGGTATTCCTTGTTCTACACATGTTTTACACATGTTCAACAACTGATCACAGATCAGCCAAGATCTTGACACGATTAAAACCAACAAATTAGCTCTGTTGTTACCTGACAAAGGCATTACAAATTTTCAGGTATTACATGTTCTACGCGGTAGCCTAAAACCTGTCTAAATGTGATTGTCCACATGGTAGATTAGCTAAGATTGTGTATTTATGTTATCACAGTTAATACAAGGGGGCCCAGGTTATGTAGCTTGGAGTGGTAATGCCATTATAAAACTGTAAGGCAATTACTGGGTTAGCTCTAGCCTGAGGTAATGAATACATTCAGAAGGATAGGGCCATTAGATGTAGGTACTTCAAAGAGCACAAGAATAGACATTCATTTAAATACATGGATAATTGCTTGACATGAACACATTTGTAATATTTATTTTCTCCTTGTGGATTTCACAAAGAATTGGAAAAGAATAGGTTTGTGTTCATTTAGAAAAAAGAGAAGCGAATGCAATCAACGTAATAATAAAACAATATTGGGTTTCTGCTTTTAATTTTGTAATGAATCTAATTTGTTACAGAAGAAAGGAGAAATTGAGTGTGGTATAATGTGATATCCAGTCTATTTGTCCATTACTGCCACAGGGCACAAAATGGTATTATAAATGGTATTTTTTTATGGGAGGAATCTAAAATTGTTTTATAACAAGATTTTAAAAAGGAGGGTGAATTCCGAAGTCTCTGTTCACTTAACGCCATGCCCACAAACCAATCTCCTTTCGCATCACTTGACTGTTCACACTTGTTACTTTCATATTCACTCTGGACTCTGCATTGGATTTTTATATCGCTGCTCGTCCCTTAGGGCCAGTCTGTCATCTGCAATGTTGTCTTAAAATTACAAGGTAAACTTCAATCAGAGCACACTTCCCCCTTTTTTTCCTTGGTGTAGCAACAATATTAGCGTGCATCCTTTGCAATCCATGAGCACTCCTATATTGGCTTTCTGTCTCCTCACAATTACCACGTGTCTTACTGGTCCTGGGGAAAAGGATGGTGGAAATCAATAGCGCCGTAATATTATCAACTGGAGGGTGAAGTAATTGAGGGAGGGGGGCCGGTGTCGATTTGCCTTTCTGCTAATGCACACTTTTTATAGAGTCTCTTCGCTACACCTGCAGCCCATAATGGCTGTTCTCTTCACGCCGTATCTCTTCTCATTCAAAATGTACATGCTAGCTAGCCTGAGGCTCTTATACTGAGAATGTGCTGTTGACCCTGAGAGGCGACCCTCAGATGGCAAGCTTAACAATGATGAATCACTCTGTAGGATCATTTACATGGCCCCCTGAACCCCATATTTGGGTCCATTAGAGAGCAAATCAAATATGTATATTATTTATTAGAAGTGCAGGCTTTCATCTCACTCTAAGATTGGGCCATGTGAGGGCTGGGGGGAGATCCTGCTATATTAAGTAAGTAAGCACACTGAGGAAACTCATCTCAGATTTTGAGTGAAAGATAGTTTTATCGCCAAAAGGCATTTTGTTCTCCAAGAAGAAAAAATGGATGCTGTAATACAAGTATGCATCACTGTATTCCTTGTTATGTTCAAATTGTAGATTTTACAGAAATGTACTGACTAAATTACATTTACATCATTTAGCAGACACTCTTATCCAGAGCGACTTACAGGAGCAATTAGGGTTAAGTGCCTTGCTCAAGGGCACATCGACAGATTTTCTCACCTAGTCGGCTCGGGGATTAGAACCAGCGACCTTTCGGTTACTGGCACAACGCTCTTAACCACTAAGCTACCTGCCGCTCTTATTGAGTGTGCAGACATAACTCACAGCCATAAAAGCTATGTGAACCTTTCCTTTGGTCTTACAAATGTACTGTTGAAATTAGAGTTACATTTCATGTCCAGGTGTTGTTTTTCAACGGGGACCAAAGACTAATTGAAACACTTCATATTGTGCACCAGAGACTGCTGGCTGCAATGTCGTATATCTTCCTATTGACTTGGCCCAGTGTCCATACTACAAATAAAATAAAATTGTATTTGTCACATGCGCCGAATACAAAAGGTGTAGACCTTACAGTGAAATACTTACTTACAAGCCCTTAACCAACAATGCAGTTTTAAGAAAATGCAAATAGTCCGGGTAGCCATTTGATTAGCTGTTCAGGAGTCTTATGGCTTGGAGGTAGAAGCTGTTAAGAAGCCTTTTGGACCTAGACTTGGCACTCCGGTACCGCTTGCTTTGCGGTAGCAGAGAGAACAGTCTATGACTAGGGTGGCTGGAGTCTTTGACAATTTTTAGGGCCTTCCTCTGACACCGCCTGGTATAGAGATCCTGGATGGCAGGAAGCTTGGCCCCAATTTTGTACTGGGCCGTACGCACTACCCTCTGTAGTGCCTTGCGGTCGGAGGCCGAGCAGTTGGCATACCAGTGATGCAACCAGTCAGGATGCTCTCGATGGTGCAGCTGTATAACTTTTTGAGGATCTGAGGACCCATGCCAAATCTTTTCAGTCTCCTGAGGAGGAATAGGTTTTGTCGTGCCCTCTTCACGACTGTCTTGGGGTGTTTGGACCATGATACGCCACACAGCCTGGTCTTTATTAAATTGTCCGTTAGACGTTAATGATATTGCAGTGTTGCATGCTGGGCTTTAACAGATAAGGTTTTAAACGGCTTTCTGGTATTTTTACAACTCTGAGGTGGTCACCACTTTACTGCATGCCAAGGGAGTGCTATGTGCAGACGAATCAGTCATAATATTACAGTTGACGCAACTGGAATGCCAGTTATACCCAATTGGAATTAGCAGGGGTGCAATCAGATGAGCCCAGTAATAGATTTTATCAGAGAAAATGGAAATACTAAGGAATCAAAGAATGGCTGAAATATGTGGCTTTGTTTTCATGTTGAAATATGCCAAAATGTGAAAATCAAGAGTTTCAACACCTGTAATGAGTTCTAAAGAAAGCAGTGAGACCTAGCGTATTATAATGTGTCCCTGGCCTTATTAGCCACACTAGAACGGGGGGGGGGGGGGGGGGGGGGGGGGGTTACGAGCGTAGTCATGTAAACAACAGATTAAACCAAATGGAGCTGTGTAGAATGAAAGGAAAACATGAGTGGGGTAATGACGGCCCAGACGACCAGTAGATTATAATCTCCACAGACTACTGGAGAGGAAAGACGTCTGATTGAGCTATTTTACCACACAGAAAGTTTACCACAACCTGCCTCCCTCTCTCTCTCTTCTCACTAAACCAATAAAATCCCAAATCAATGCTAGATGGACGCACCAGAGTGTTTGTGTATCGTATTTCTACTGGGTTAAAATGTTTGAACTTCTTTTGATGTTGTTTTGTTTCTTGGTCTTTGATGATGTTGTTGGGTTAGCAGCTTTGGTGTGTGTATGGTGTGGTTTGTTGTGTCTATGTGGTGTTTTCTGTCTGTTTTTGTGAAGATGAGACATAACACTGACCTTTGGTAACCTCTCAGGGTCACCCGGGTGCCTGGGGATGACCTTCTGCAGCCTCTGGAATCCATAGTCGATGGTTGGCTCATTGAGGGCTAAAAAAATAAATAAATCCAATGGTTAGACAATGTGTAGTGAAATAAATAACTGCTCTGTAAACCAATGTCTGCAATGCACAGCAACTAGCAGGAATACTCTGTCACAAGTGTCACAAACCCCCTGCATCCAGTTAAATTCAAATTTAGCAAAATAGCCATGATGACATGATGCAGTACATCAGTCTAGAGCAGGTCTCATATCTCTCTCAGGGCCCTCCTCTTTTTATCTGCTAGGGAATATTGAGTGCAAACGACATAGTGGGGTGTGTTAATCAAACCGAGCTTTAATAATCTGTGAAAGTCCACAAATTGATCTAGCGTGAGTTGCTGTCACTCTAGCGCTGCACTTACTGTACAACCCCGCTGCTCTACTGAAATACTGCAGCAGATCACACAGAGCAATCAATCTTACCCACCCCTCAAATAGTAATCTGGAGCAGTGAGCCGTATTGTGCTATGAATCAGAGGGACAAAGTAAATGAATCATAAGCCAGACTTTGGTAAGACTAAGGCGTTTTATGTCTGACAGTCATAATGGGTAATTTAAGGCTTCCTTACAGCTCTCGCTGATTCTAAACAATCATGTACACCCGTAGGCCAGGAAGGAGAGAGGAGGGAGAGAAGGAAGGGGGAGGGGAGGAGGGGTAACAGGGGAAGGAATGACTTAATAGAGAACATCACTTCTCAATGTAGATATAATTTTCGGCAGAGTAACTCAGACGAGTGCGGCGGTGCATCATAAATCAATAGCTTTCTGTGGAGACTAATAAGAGCTGCCTGCCTCTATTCATTGTTCAGCCTGTAATTTGGCTCATCACTCATTACTCAGCATGTAATTTCAGCATTAACGGAATAAGGCTCGCAGAACCTGCTGAACACGAGAGAACATAAACGCAAACGCCAAAAGTACAGCCAGGGACACTGACACACAGACCGGGGAGACATGCACACACACACACACACACACACACACACACAACCTACCAAATAATTGCTAGACAGGTACAGGGCTGTGCACCACATAAAGTGAACTCCCAACAACCAAACGCACCACACACCACACGTCACAACATACACTCCTAGAAATCTGATTTGACATCTCATCATGCATCCCGGAACGACAAAGGTCCGCATTTTCTCTATTATAAAGGATTGATCCATGGTATTGCTCTCACATGACAAGGCCCTGGCTGGGATTTTGCCCTCTTTCTTTAGTTATTTCCTCCCCCCTTCTATCTGTACACACCGCAAGACGCATGCATTTGTGTGTGTGTCTGTGTGTGTGTGTGTGTGTGTGTGTGTGTGTGCGTGTGTGTGCGTGTGTGTGTGTGTGTGTGTGTGTGTGTCTGTTGTAGCCCTGCCAGACCCCGCTGCCCAGTGTGATGTAAATTGTGCATGTGTAAAAAACACTCCATAATCAGGCCATCCATCATCACCGGCTGTCAGTAGGCTCTCGCAGGGTGATGCATCACGCTCTCCTGTCCACTGCCTCAGCTGGGGCCTACACTGCACTCAACACTGCTGCTGGGCATGCTGGGTATAGATACAGTAGCTAGCTACACCACAAGACCTAGGTAATAAAGGAGAAGTATGTGATGTGTATTTTGGAAGTATTTACAATTACAATTATCCTGAAGTAATGCAGCCTGATGTAGTTTGAAAAACAGGATGCACGGCACACCTTTTTGAACATCTTGATATGTCATACACATTTAAACATAATTGACGTTTAATTCTTTATCATTTCTGTTTGAAAACACTAAATTACTTAAACTACTACGCTGTTTGTTAGGGGGAAGAGGGCCTAGAACATGAGCATCAAATACCACAGATAGTAAACAAGATGTCTCTTCTCTCTTGCTCTTTAAGATAAGGATGAAAGCATGTCTGTTTCACCTGTCTTTGTGCTTGTCTCCACCCCCCTCCAGGTGTCGCCCATCTTCCCCATTATCCCCTGTGCATTTATACCTGTGTTCTCTGTTTGTCTGTTGCCAGTTCGTCTTGTCTCGTCAAGCCTACCAGCGTGTTTTTCATATTCCTGTTTTCTTGAGCCTTGTTTTCTAGTTTTCCCGGTTTTGATCTTTCTGCCTGCCCTGACCCTGACTACCGTTCTGCACCATTTTGACACTGCCCTCTGCCTGCCCGCCACTCTGTACCTTACGGACTCTGCCCTGGACTACCGACATCTGCCTGCCCTTGACCTGTCATTTGCCTGCCCCCTGTTTATATATGAAATGTCCATTTTTCGAACTGTCTGCATCTGGGTCTTTTCCTGAGCCATGATAATGCCTCAAGGTTCTGTGATTGGGGTGCAACTCTGGGCCACGAGCAGCGCATGTCGACATGTCGCCATCTCATCTATCATGGAGATGATCTTTGTAACAACCCCACGTAATGAAATTGGTGACACAGACCCCCATCTGCTATCGATTTCATGCAAATGAAGTTGACAGCTGATGGAGACTTACATTTGCGCTAAACGGTGCTGTCAGTTGATGAGTTGACAGTTCTGTAGTCAGACCGTGTATACACAGTGACAGACACTGTCAATAATCCTATAAGGGCTGATGACGACATATACTGAGCACTTGTATTCATTCTGTACATGAAATGTATGGTTACATTGTATTATATTGTGTATCATATTTGAGCTGAATATTTAGGTTGATTTCTTAACAATCAAACTTGAGGTCAGTGTTACTATACATACACCACTATACTCCCTCAAACACCCCCCAACTTATCTACTTCCCACCACCTTCTTCTAACCCTTTAATATATTGTAGCTCGGAACTCTAGGATGCCCTTGGACTGCCAGCATGCATGCCAACATGAGCTTCATCTCCATCATTCTACCAGCCCAGTGCAGTGTTGTGAGAGGTAAGCTAAGGAGGAGAGGAGCGCTGGAGTAGACTAGGTAGGGGAGCTGGCACCCCTACGAGGGGTTCTCAGCCACTGTGAGGAAACATGAAACCCTCCACACACATCCCATAAATCCTGCTCTGGGTGGAAGTCTGGGGGGGGGGGGGGGGGGGGGGGGGTGGCACGTTCCAGTCACGACCGCTTCCCGGCCCGCGGCCAATCAATACCACTTTCCTGTTTTAGAGGTGGGTAATTATGAGGTGGAGAGATTGTCTGACCTCTCACCCCTGCTGCATTACTCGGCTGATATTAAGATAAATTGCCTGATTTTGGGTAAACATATGCTGCAATTCAAACTGTCAGCACTGGTTTGCTCAGGGATAATTTGTATTGATCTCCTGGCTTCTTCCCCATTTTGCCTACTGACCTCACGGATAATTAGAGAGAAAGAGACACAGTGAGGTAAGGCAAGGGTTGCATTTGAATACTTCGCCAGGTATAAAGAGCGTGAATAAAGAAAGAGTGAGGAAAAGAGTGAATGATATAGACTGATAAAAAATAAAACATCTTCTGAACTTGCAATTCAGCTTGAAACACCTGGCTTGTTTAGTTCAATTACTCCAACTTAATCTTTTCCTCATCACTTATGAAAAGCTATAATTGTTTTGTGTTCATAATAAAATGTTTATCACTTAACATAAATTAAATAAAGTAATGCCAATCATTTTATCGTTATATGTGATGTTTAGTAGACAGCTGAAGGAGCAAAATTACTGTCACTTTTGAATAGTATGCACATAACTTTTTATTTTAAAAGCCCAGCAAAGTTAATTCTTTGGATGCGAAAGCTGAGTGGAAACTATGAATATTTCAGTAATTTCCTCACTAGTGATTGAATGGTCATGTTTCAGAATGAAAAAAATGGAATGCATGAGTTGGTGTGCAGCTGTGACCATATCAAATCTAATTTCAAGCACTACACACACACGCATACACAATCTATGGCAGGATTTCAATGGAATTCCTCTCCCTGGCATGTGTACTTCTCGATCTTATTTTGATCTAATGCCCTTAATCTACTCTGTCATCCGTTCATGCTCCTAACACATTCACTCCAGAAGGCTCCGAGCCCAGTGTCTTTGCTTAAAATGCAGAGTGGATGGCCAAACATGCGACTGAGCACGGTCTACTGCTCCTTCTCCATGTACTCTAGAAATAGGACATGAGTAACCGCTCTAGAGGAACAATGTAACATGGCCGTCGTTGGCAGATGAAAACACTTACATGGCAATACGCCTGCATGCTCTCAGTATGTGGCAGTCTACTGAAGTCATGTACTGTATTGGCCTGCAGTAACAGTCAGTAACAGGGGGAAAATGTTTGAGAAAAGCAGTACATTTAAGGGAAATGGTTCCTTGTTAAGCGTGCACAGAGCGCTAGCATTCTTGCCAGCCATTATTGGTTATTACGATAACTCTATCTTTCCAGGAGATAAATACTAGCCTTGTTGCCATTTGCCAGCTATTACTAATTATACTTAACTGCATGGAGCCTATCTCCACTCCTCCTACACATTATTTTTTTTTCCTTCCCTCTAACACAGATTATACTGAGGTGGAGAGGGAGTTGGAAAGGGAGCAGATAAACAGAACGGGGTGAAGTTCATTCAAGTGTTAGTGAGTTTGGAACTTGTGAGAGTGTCCAACTGAAGCCTCATGGGCACCTGAGATCATCTTAAAGCTGCAGCCCAGATATGGGTCACACATAGTATCACAATCACAACAGGAAATTACATTATTTTACTGACACCAATAGTATCAAACAGGGAAGAAAAAGGCCATTATCACTCAGGGGTTATTGAAGGTAAATAGGTGAACTTAAACAAGTGATACAGCTGCAGGGATAACATGAGACATTTAGAGGTCATGCTGTTCAGCAATATACTGTAGATTTCCTCTGTGGAGAGAGATCTTAAAGAAGCATGCAGTCAGAACCCAACTTCAAACCAAACCAACCAATCTTAACTCACGGCAAACCCAAGCAAACCAAACCAGTGCATTTAACACTGACCGTTATTCTCTCCATCCAATCCAAGCTAACAGAGAGTTATTCCGTCTCCAGGAGTCTCAGGTT